GAGTTACACTTCTGAACAGAAAGAGATTGATAAGCTTTTCTCCCAGCTCCGTTTTCCGTCAGAGAAGAGAAAGACAGCTGAAACAAGGCTGCCCTAAGTTCAAAGTACCATGAAATTTATGTGGTGAATTACCAAAGCTAGAGGTATGTTTCCACTTGAAAAAATATTTTAAATTATTTAAAATTCAAGAGGGCAGGGGTAGGGGAAATAACAGGCATCTGTTATTTTTTTCTGTTGATGGAAATGGTGCATGTAAACGTGTTTTCTTCATATAAAGATGGATTTGAATGAAGCAGAAGAAATGATTTCTAGAGCAGAAAACCTGTACAAGCAACCGTATTTCTGGAACCTTCTACATTCACTCCCTCGCCTTGAATTGAACAGCTTTTATGCAGAAGATGGGTTAGCTGCCATAGCACAGTTTCTAAAAGTCATTCAAAAGTAAGTACTTTTACATTCTTGAAAGTGCTCTGTTTTAATATTCTATCTGCAATTCTTGTTCTTCTCACTGGCTATTTCATAAAATAAGCATCCTTATCAGTGTAAAGAGGCTGAAATTTTCTTCTGTTTACTTCCGCTTTTATAGAAGAGTGCTTTTATTCTGCTTTTATAGAAGAGTGGTAGGAGTTTCCACCCATTCTGATTCCTTCATAACTGTGTTTTTCATCGCTGTCAAACTCAGCAGAGATTCCCTAGGAGTCTCCAAGGAGTAGCTTCATGTTAGCAATGTCTGAAATTAGGCCATCACATAATATGGCTTTGAATTTCTGTAATGTGCTTTGGGAGTCTTTGAAAAACACGATATTTACACATGAATATAAGAAAATAATATTTTGGATTCTAATCAACTTAACAAATATGTAGCACTTGGTCAGTATCAGGAAAATTACTCCATTTTGTTTCTCAAGCCTCTTGCTATCAAAATAGATTTGGCTGTTCTCTTGCAAGAAATGAAGCAGTAACAAAAAGTCCACAGAGACTGTATTCTGAATATGAAAGTATTTTGCTTCAGGTAAAGGGCAGCTGGATTCAGAGGAAGACGTGGTATCACAAGCCCAGACTAAAACAAGTATCTGTAGGAATTGTCAGTAAAATAAGGGAACTGTTAGGAAAAAGTCAGAAATGTATTTGCCAGAGTAGGTAGTTGTAACAGGTTGATAGGTGATTGTCATTGTAGTCAATGAACTTACTTATAAGGCTAGGGAAGGCCACTGAACCTGGCTACCTGTGCAAGACTGGTCATGAACTTCATGAGCCTTACCCCATGGGGAGGCAGGGACCCAAAAACTTCGAATGGGAAATTACTGTGCTGATTCTGTCACCCTTTAACACCCTGCTGTTTTTTTCCTAATAAAAAAAGGTATGAAGGATATGATGGCTTTTTTTTTTTGAACTCTGAAATAAATCTCTTGATTACAATGTGTGGATTGCAGCTGTGTTGGGGCTGGATTCCCCCCTCTCCCCTTCATGCCTGAGTCATTTGTAACCTTATTCCAGCTTGTTCTCTGAACTGTTAATGTGCGAAGCTGTATTAGCTGTGCTTGTAGTGCTTATATCCCAAAAGCAGAAGTCTTTTCTGAAAGGTTTGCAAACTCTCAGTCTGAGTGTTCCTGAGGTAAAAGGACTTGATCGTAAGTTTATAGTTGTTCTCTTCTTAAGCAGCTGTAAGCAAAGATAGCAGTAACCACTGGCTGCTGTGCTGGGTTATGTTATTAATCTGTTAATATATAATCTCAGCAGTGATCTCTCTACCCTAAGCCCGTAGCACAGACAGACCAAGACGGAGACAAAAGTGGAGGGCGTTCATGGTTACGGCATTTGTCTTCCCACGTAAGAGTTATGCACGCTGAGACTCTGCTTTCCAAGAAGTGGCTGAGAGTCTGCCTGTTGATGGGAAGTAGTGAATAAATTCCTTGTTTTGCTTTGGTTGCATGCAGAACTTTTGCTTCACCTATTAAACTGTCTTTATTTTGATCCATGAGTCATCTTACCTTCCTTTTATTTTATTCCTGTCGGTGGCAGAAGGGAGTGAATGAGCAGCTGTGTAGGTGCTTGGCTGCCAGCTGGGTTCAATCCACCAGTGATTAAGGGGAGACTCAGATGTTTACATTTTGGGTTTGGGTTTTTTAAGACTTTGGTGCCCTTCACTGACCAAATTTGCCATAATTAATGCAATTTGGAAAGCAAACCACAAAAAACAATGCTCCTTTCTTGATTAGCTTCATATGACTAACACACATTTCTAGAGGTCCGATCTCAGGCAGAATTTAGTCAGCAAAAAGGTTCCTAAATTTACAACTTCTCCCATTTCCTGGGATTTACCCGTTTGCTGTTTCTCTCAAAGGTACTTAACCTACTTTTCACACCTACTTAAATAGTGTTTTTTTAATTGTTTTTTTCTTCCTCTTGTGTAAGTTGGAATCTGCTGATCCACTCTAACAAAACTGGATTCTTATTTGCATAGTAACAAAGGAATAAATAGGAAATAACTGGAAAATTTGACATAGACTTTTAATAAATTACAGCTACGTTAACAAAGAAGTTTGTTTCACAGCTGAACTGTGAAAGCTGAAAGGTGACAGACTTGTAAGAAATTCAATATTTTAATCAATGCATTCTGTCATGTGCTTTGTTTAATTTGGTGTAAGAATAAGTGTTCTGTTGCTTTAAAGGTTTATTTTTTTCCTCTGCAGATTGCGTGGAAGTAAAATATAAGTATTCCTCATCCATCCTGCCTTGTTGCAGGGATAACTGGGAGAACACTTGTGATGGCTTTGTTCTCATTTTTGTTCTCACTTTTAACTCTATTTCTCTCTCTCTTTTTTTTTTTTAATTTTTAAGAGGACATTGGTCGTTTTAGGAGACAATTCCTTAATGAAAATTGAGTGAAACTCTAATTGTAAAATCTCAACTTGTGTTTTTTAAATGAAAAGTCTAATTTGACAAAACATCAGTTTTTCAACAACAACAAAAAGTATTTTAATATTCAATTGCTTGAGTGTCATATTTTTCCACCAAGTTTTTCTGGGTGTATGGAGAGCTTGATTTTTTTTTTTTGTTTTATTTTTTGCTTTCAGTACCTTAGCATCATTGAAGGATTTAGCTATGATGCCATTGGGCCAGAGTTTCTATGAAGTGGTGAAAATAACACTGAATTTAACTGCTGCATCAGTACAGGATAGAATCTTAGAAGGTAAGGAGTTTGCTTCAGATTTTCTTTGAAGAACCTCATAAGCGTGCTGGGAATATGTGATAGCAGTAACAGTCTAAGCTTCTGCTAAATTCCTAATGTAAAAGTTCTAATTGAACTATGTTGTTATATTGCGAACCCGTTTCTTGATTGATCTGTTTTTTAAATATTAATAACTAAATTTCATTAGACTCTGGCAACTATTTGATAAACGTGCTTTCAACCAAAGCACATTGGTCTAATATATCGTGTTTAGAATGATCTTTCAGTGGTGAATTTTGGAGAGAGACTACACAGGAAAATGTCTTCCATTTGATAGAAAAATAGCATCTCATTTCGGACATGCATCTTAAGCATTATGGCTGTTTTACTTTAAGCTTCATTCTTCTGTTATAAATTCTGCTCTCATCTGAAGGGCTACATTTTTCCATCTGCTGTTTGAGTATGGGAGATGAGTTTAATTGGAGAAGGGAGGTTGGCCTCAGGACAATCCCTCAAGAAAAAGTCTGGAACAGGTTTCATTGGCAAACTGTCTGGTGGCACACGATTAGATTCTAGGTGCAGCTGTATGCTCTGCATGGAAGGTCAGGATAAAAATTATATGTGGTCGCTAAGTCCCACTTCACCTGTCAAAACGATGACTGAAGGTGGTACAAAGGGGATATGCTGGAGCACTTGCACAGAGGGTGAACTTGAATTCCCTGGGTCTTCAGGTATTCTCCTGGTGCTCTCCCTCTCAGCAGTGATTCCTATCCAGCCCATACACACACACTGGCATGACTATATGCAGAATTAGACACGTTGTTCAGAATGGCACCCTGCTGGGTCTGCTGGCAATCACTGTGCGGGGACATCTCGCCAGAACACCATCAGATTAACTGACCTTGCCATACTACTAATGTAATCATGGATTTTGTCCTAGTGAAACTGTTGTTCAGGCACACGCTTTTTTTTTTTCAAAAAGCTGGGAACTTGGATCTCAAAGTATGAAGCATCAAGAAACAACATGAA